GGACTTCTGACCTACAGAACTTTGATACAGTAAATGTCCCTAGTCTTAAACAAGTGAATACATGGTAATCTGTTATGCACAAATATAAACTGATAAGTACATCTGTAAACACTGTCTTAATGTGATCCTCTGAGAATAATTAGTTGAAATTATATTACTGTGTGTCTGTTAGGTTGTTTTGCTATATCTTAAAAAAGAAAGACTCATAGCCCATTTGGGCTGCTATAGCAAAGCGCTATAGACTAAGTGGCTTATAAATAACAGAAATTTATTTCTCACTGTTCTGGATGCTGGAACTCTGATATCAGAGTGCTAGCATTGTTGGGTTCTGGAGAGGCCGCTCTACCAGGTCACAGACTGCCATCTACTCACTGTATCTTCACGTGGTGGAAAGACAATAAGAGAGTTCTCTGGGCTCTCTTTTACTAGTTCACTAATTTTATTCTTGAGAACTCTACCCTCATAACTTAGTCACCTCCCAAGGGTCCCACCTCCGAATATTACCACGTTGGAGGTTAAAATTTCAACATATGAATTTGATAGGCTGGGTGGACACGAACATTCAATCCACAACAGAAAGCAATAATCATTTATTGAACTTTCTATTGTGGCGGTTTTCATTTTGCAAATACTCTCCTAAGAAGCATTTTTTTCACTTCTGCTCACTTTGCAAGTATTCTGCAGGATTGCATGAAGTGAAGAAGATGTTAAGGCCAGAAAATGTAAGGCATTGCTCCAGACCTTGATGCCACATCTTGTCCTCACTTGTCACCATCTCCTAATCCTGCAGGAAAGATCAGCCACCTCCACAAGCTAATCAATATAGTCACTTTTTCTGTGTGAAAAATAAAAGGCTGTGCCAACAAATTACTATCTCTCAGCTGCAGGTGATAAGAAAGCTTCTTTGCCTTGGCATTTGCTTATCATTGGCCAATAGGAACTGACATTTCATTACATACTAGACTATCCAACATTCTACTCCCTCCCATTTCCCATCCCATCACCTTTTGTCTAATTACTTTTAAATTCTACGTCTTTAAAATGCAGGCTTAAGAATTAATCTCTCAGATAATTACAGTCACTACATTTGATTAAAAATATCAGAAGAGACTGGGGAAAAAATGACTCTTCATTAGGGTGGAACAACATCTATCATAAATCCAGAATCTTGGTAATTTAACATTAATAAGAATTTTCTATGGCTTGTCTCACAATTTGGAGGAGGAGGCACGAGCAATGTTTTCAACAACCCAGTTTTCAGCATCCCGGTCCCCATCCATACTACCATCTGCTAGGGCCTCAGAGCCCTCCTCCGTATCTTCTGTAATTACTAAGGCTCTGAGGGAAAAATATGTCATAAATAAGGTAGAGAAAGAAGTCCACTTGTAACTTCTTTGGCCTAGAAGTGATGCACATCACTTCCATTTGCATTCTGCTGGCAAGAAACAATTACATAGTCACATCTAAATACAAAGGAGCTGAGAATTCTAACTTGGCCCTGTGCCCAGGAGGAAGTGAACATGGAAATTACTGAGTCCTAGCTCGGTATCCCCTACAATAGAACAAGATGAAATCTATGAATGATCCATAAATTTTGGTTATCACTGTTAGTGATTTGCCTTTATCATGGATTTAGAAATTACTACTGTTGCGTAACAAAACTTAGCACCATAAAGCAATTGTTTTATTAAGCTTTTGGATTTTGTGGGCTGCAAATTCAAAAAAAGGCACAGAGGAGATAGTTTGTTTCTGTTCTGTGATGTGTGGTGTCTTGGCAGGGGATGATTCAACAGCAAAGGGCTGGAATCACATAGAGGAGTCTGTATTCACAGGGCTGGCAGCTGATGTTGGCCATCAGTTAAAACCCCAAGTATAGCTATTTACCCAATGTATGACATTCAGGTGCTTGGACTTTTTCACCATGGAGTAGCCTCAGAGAGTCAAATTTCTCACATGGAAGCCCAGAGTTTCAAAAGCAAATGCCCCAGTGGACAGGCTATGTGTCCTTTTATGACCCATCTTCAGCCACTTCTGCTGTGCTCTACTGGTCTAAGAATTCCTAAGTCCACCCTAATTCAAAGAGAAGAGACATAGACCCAAATCCTAATGGGAAGTTGGTTACCAAGGTCACATTGCAGAGGGGTATGTGCAATAGGAGATACTGTGATGTCTAATTTTGGAAAATGTAATCTCCCACATACATTATCTTAGAATCACTGAAAGTCAGTGTTTGAAAGGACTTAGTACTTTATAGAACAAGAGTCAGCAAACAATAGCCCACTGCCAGTTTTTGTAAACAAGGTTTAACTGAAATACAGCCATGCCTATTTGTTAGCAAATGTGAGTCATTGCAAAAGATACCATATGACGTACAAAGGCAAAAGTTTTTATTATCTGGCCCTTTACAGAAAGAGTTTTCATCATCCGTAGATAGAATATCAATTAAACATATGGGCCGTGAAGAAAGTACTAGGTTTTTAAACCTCAGTTCTGAAAGTGGCCAGTTATGTGGCTTTGAACAAGCTGCTCAACTTCTCTAGGCTGCCATTTTCCCACCTTCATAATTGGGGAAACAGTAAAGTCTGTCATTGAATTGTGAGCATTACATGAAATAGTCAACGAAAAGGACCATAATAAGCATTCATAAATGCTAACTTGTGCTGTAGAATTACCTTAAAGTATCAGCTAGATCAAGTGTCTATTCAAGTCATATGCTCCAGGGTCATCTGCTGCAGATTTCAACTTATCTACTGATACAGGAAGTCCATTCTATCTTTAACCGTTTTATTAGAAATTTCTTCCCCCAGGTTGAAATCTGCCCCCTTATAGCTATATGCAATTAACCCTTGTCGTATCTCCTAAAGGCTCTGCAAAACATCTCTTCCAAATATTACGTTCTTTGAAAAGGATATCTCTGAATTTATCTTATCAGAACTACACATCTTTAGTTCTTTCAATTGCCTCTCCTAAGACTGAGTTTGCATCACTTTTCCACTTTAAAATCCCCCTTAGAAGGAAATATAAAGCATTTATCCAGAAATTAGCAAAAGATTTCAGGCCTGCAATAGATCTAGATCATTGTTTCCTAAATTCTCCATAGTACATTAATGATGTGTGTTTTGTGCTACTCAGTCTTTTTCTACCCTTCCTGCTGTAGAAGAGTTGATATCTTAGGATCCCGGGGTGGGTGCTTCTTGTTGCCTTTTTGTGTTCAATCTTACATAGCTCCAGCCTGTGGAAATCTTTCCAGATGTTGATAATGTAATTTAGACTGTCGACTACTCTTGCCAGCTTTATATCACACACACACACATATTTCAGAAGGCTCGATCCAAATCACTGGTAAATATTCCATCATGTTGAAATTAACACTATGAGTAATCCTGAATGCAATTCCAGCCACTGAATGTTACTTTAATAGTTGTATTTCTTCCTTCTTGGATTTCCATTGATCTTAATCACTATTTGTTCAATCATTCTCACTTGGGATGTCATTCCTCTTAGTGAAAGACGTTGGAAGCAAATATAAAGGAAAACATAAGCATTTGTGTTTCTCTTTTTCAATATTACACTTTAAATCAAGATATGTGTCTGTATTACTCAGGGGTCTCCAGAGAAACAAAACCAAGGGGAGAAAGAGATTGATTTTAAGGAATTGGCTCACATGATTGTGGAAGCTTGGTAAGTCCACAATCTTCAGGGCAGGTGGGCAAGATGGAGACCCAGGGATTTTGCTCACAGAATTCCTTCTTGCTCAGCAGAGGTCAGTCTTTGTTCTATTAACACCTTCATCCAATTGGATGAGGCCTATCCACATTATGGAAAGTAATTCACTTTAATCAAAGTCCATTGATTTCCAATGTTAATCGAATCCAAAAAACACCTTCACAGAAAGATCCAGAATAGTGTTTGACCAAATATCTGGGTGCCATGGTCCAGCCAAATTAAGTCGTAAAATTAAACATCAGAGTATCTCTCTTTATAATCTTTTTTCTTGCAATAGAAATAGCTAAGACTATTTGGTAATTAGTTATCTTATAATAGACGGTCTGTTGTATAAAACCACACTTAAGTGTGTGTCTGTCTGAGAAGGTAGTCATGGTAAAGTATAACAATGACTTTTGTTACTAAATATAAAAGTACAGTATCTTAACTGATTATTATCTGTACCTAAGAAAAAGATCAGTAGGGGGTGGGGATTGGGAAGAAGTGTGAATGCAACTCTGATTTTTAAGGTTAGCATCGCTGCAAGTTTCAGAATACAACTTTAAAGGTATGGATATGTTTATGTTCTTTAAAGCATTCGCCTATTTTTAAAATTTCACTTTTTGTATTTTAAATTTTTAAATTGATGTTTTAATTTCAAATGTTATTTCTTCACATGATTTTACAAGATTATTGAAACAAATGTCTATATAAATAAGATGTAAAAGCATGAAATGCTGGTTCAAAACAATGTTTGTAACAAAATGATACTAGAATATTTTTAAGCCAGCATGTTATCTGTGGAAACAAGATTTTATTGTACTAGTATTTTAGTTTTGGTTTGGTTTTGTTGAGACAGGGTCTTGCTCTGCTGCCCTGGTTGGAGTGCAGTGGTATAAACACAGCTCACTGCAGCAAGCCATCCTCCCACCTCAGCCTCCCAAGTAGCTGGGACTACAGGCACACACCACCACCCAGCTGATTTTTGTATTTTTTGTACAGATGAGATTTTGTCATGTTGCCCAGGCTGGTCGTGAACTCCTGGGCTCAAGCAATCCTCCCTCCTGGGCCTCCCAGGCATGAGCCATTGCACTCAGCTGTATTTCGGTTCTAAACTTTTATGAATCTAGGTTTTTAAAAAATGTGGTTTTATTTTTTGGCTAGCCATTTATAGTAAGTAGAAATTATTGATTTAAAGACTTTTAGAGATGTAAAGATGGTTTATAAGTCCTACTAATAATTCTTTTCTTGTGTGAAATTCACCGTTATCTTTTGTTCTATTTTTCCCTTTTCAGGTTTGGATGTGTGGAGGAGAAATGTTTGATGTTCCATGTTCTAGAGTTGGTCATATCTACAGGAAGTATGTTCCATACAAAGTTCCATCTGGGACCAGCCTGGCAAGAGTGAGTAACTCAGCATCAGAACAGACTGGGTTCGATATAGCTTTCTGTAAACAGAGTAACTAGCCTCACCCATGGTATATGTAATCTCTGTAAGCAAAGTAACCAGCCTCACCCATGGCATGTGTAATTTAAGACACAGTCTGAAAGAAGCTCTCCAGTGTAGAGAGAGCTCCTGTGTTTCTCACAGTCTTATTTCCATTGCTTAAAAAAGTATTAACTCTTATGCTATTTCCTGTTACAATTGTTTCAAAGCATTTTCACGTACATTATATTCAATCTTTACCATTGCCTTCTGAGGTCTGTGTTCTTATCTTTATTTCACAGATGGGAAAATGAAGTCTGAACTAGGTGGCTGTTCATTCTCACATGAAATAGCAGAGTAGGTCCGCGGACCTGGAGCAGCCAGCTCCCTCCACCCAAGTGGAGTGTAAAGGATGTGTAATAAGTCAGATGGAGAAACGGGGTAAATGGGAGATGGGAAAAGCTAGATACCCAAACTGTGCCTTCTTCTGTTTAATAACTAGGGCCAGCCTCAAATTCTACCCCATCCTCAACATTTCAAGGTTGGCTCAGTCTAAGATTTTTTTTCCAATATTGTTTTGAATTAAACCTTTCTTGTAAACCAGGTGCAAAGATGCTTTTCTCTTCTGCCCTTTGAAACATTTTTACGCATTTTTAGGAGAATGGACTCACAATACCATCTCCAAACAACACTGACAATTTCTCTGGTTTCCATATTACTTTCTTCAGGGCTGGGTCAGTTTTCATCACCATGATATGTACCTGCTACTGCTCAGAATCCAAATCTAGAAAAGGAATATTTTACCACATCTCTTTGCACACTGCTACCCTAGAAATCAACTGCTGAATTATTCATTTTGGTTGTTTTACAAATAAGGCTACAATATATAACTATTTGGATCTTTTATATAAGGTTCACATAATGAACTTTTGTAAAAATAAATAAACAAATTCACCAGGAATTATTAGCATATCAGTAACACAAAGGTAGAGCTTTGGTCTCTGTGAGTTACTGCTCTACTCCCGGGACCTAAAACAGGGCTTAGGGAACACTCAGATATTTGCTGAAAGAATTAACTAATCAGGAAATCTAAGAGAGGAAAATGCTTCAGATTTGAGTTGTTACTAAAACTTAAATACTTTGTTATGAGAATAACAAAATTTTCTTTTATAGTAAATCTTTGTCAACTCTCCATTTTTCTTTAGTCACATCCATATTCCCTAACAGCAACTAGATCTCCTAGTAATAACATTACATTACACACACCTTGAAGAGAAATACAGGCTAAGTATCCCTTATCCAAAATGCTTGGGACCAGGAATGTTTCAGATCTTCAGATTTTTTTTCCAGATTTTGGGATATTCACATATACATAATGAGATGTCTTGGGGATGAAACCCAAGTCTAAACACAAAATTTATTTATGTTTCATATACAACTTATATACGTGGCCTGAGAGTAATTTTATATAATATTTTTAATAATTTTGTGCATGAAGCCACATTAGTGTTAGTTTGATGTTCTTATAAGTGTGGAATTTTCTACTTGTCACATCATGTTAGCACTCAAAGAATTTTGGATTGTGGAGCATTTTGGATTTTGTATTTTCAGATTAGGGATGTTCAACCTGTCATATTCTTCCTTCCCTAACTAAATTAAAAATTTAATTTGATGCTAACAACATAGTACTCTAAGTATCTGTAGAAATATAATACTTGAAATGAAAAAGTCACAAAATCATAAAGTAATTAAACGACTACATCTTGGGTAAGGAAATATGGTTTGATTTAGTCATAAGACTTAAGACACATGAATCAGAAAACAAGATTTCACAGGAAAGTAAATGATTGAACAATTTAGAGCACATGTCACCAATCAGCCAAGTAGATATGATAAATCTTAGCAGTTTAAAATATCATAAAGATAACTATCATTTCTCATGTATCCGATTTTACTCACTCATATGCTCCCCTGCTTGTGCTCTGAAAAGAACCATTCACTTGTAAGAAAATGGGTGCGTGTGTGCTTGGTTCATAGTCCAAAGTAGAGTGTAAAAGCTTGCAGCGGGCGGAAAATGTTGTGCTGATCCAAAAGGACTATTTTCAAAAAATAAAACTGTTCATATAGTTTCAAGAAAGAAATAAAGCACTTTTTCAAGGACTGTCAAATGTAGAGAAACTGGGGTTGGCACATAAAACTTCCAAGAAAAAGTGAATATTTATTCAAATGAAAAAAGTCCATAATTCTGAATTTTAATCTTTCCCACTCAAATTTTACTTCAGGGTTCATTTTTATTTTTTTCTAAACTGCTAGAGCAATCAGAAAGTCATAAATATTGAAGCTTGCCTGTCACTCTGAGGAAGATTTTATGTTTTTTTTTTTTAAGTTTAAAAAAAGTACATTAAAATGAAAACAATTCTGATGTTTTGTGAGAGCACCTCAACTACCTTGCTACACACTACATTATTACATATCATCAAAAATGATGAGAGACTTTATGTATGCTTCAAATGCAGGGTCACGCCTACTCGATTGGTATTTTTATCTTTCAGCCTCATCAGGAAATGGAGATGAAGGTGGAGACTTTACTCCAAAGGCTTGTTTTCTTACTCTACAAAACTCATTTAATTCTTCAAAAATGTGCACTTTTCACATTGATGATTCCAATTTGTGGTTCCAAAAGACTCCTCAACTCTATAAACACACAGAGAGACACACAAATGTGTGAACGGCCTTAAACAGCATACTGTTGGTGTATAACATAGAAATACATTTTAAAAATTAGTTACTTAGTACCTTCTATTTTCCCAGCATTAGAATCTGGTTGAAAGAGACAAGATATCCATCTATGAAACTGTTAGATGACAGTACAAGACAAGCAATTGCTTAAATGTATCATAAAGATATGTACAAGTAGAGGGAAGAGGAGGAAGTAGCACTGTGGCTGTGACCTTCTTCGGTCCTCTCAAATTACAGGACTTGAAAGAGAACCTTCAAGAATATGTCCACTGAATTAGCAAGTTTCATATAACAGTGGTTCCCAAACTCAGGGTGAATGACGAGAGCCAATTCCTAGCCAACATTTCACCCAGCCTCTGTGAACTAAGAAAAACAATAATCCCAAAACTAAACCTGTTCAACTTAATAACATCTTTTTTATACACAAACTGTAAGGATTTTTTTTTTCATTTTTTTATGACAGAGTGCAAGATAGTAAATTTTTGTTAGCGCCCTTATTTGGCAAAAACAAAAATTAGCATCACTACATCGTTTCCCACAAAATGTAAAAAGTTAGGACACCGGAACTTACACTTCAGCTTCATCTGGAAATCAGAGTATTCACTTGTCATTAATAAGCCTAAACAGTGTTACTGAGTCAGCTCGGGGCTAATGTCAGTACACGGGGACACTGTTGTGGGGTCTTGTCACCAGGAACAAGCAGCAAGTCCCTGAGGGCAGGGGTGCCCATGTCTAGAGTTGCAGAGAGACTAGAAAGACACCAGGGCTGTGGTGACAGTCATTCCTTTTTCATCCCTTCTTGCTCACAGAAGTGTGAGCAGCTCCTCAGCAAAGGTCCACTGAGTGACGCTTTGCACAGCCAGAGGAGAATGAGTGGCAAATAGGTGAGAGAATCTCAAAGAAGAGATTCTTCTCTTCATTCTGACAGGTTTCGATGTGAGCCAAGCACTCTGCTGAAGGAGCCGTTATTACTGGCACCTGTGGGGACGGTTCACAAATCCCTCTGTGAATGGCAGTGTGTTTGGGGGCAGTCAAAGCCACTGGATCTGTGACAGGTGGCTGTGATAGCTGGGACATGTCAGAGGTGGAAAGCAGTCACCCCGTGGCTAAGTATACCACCTGATTGCCGCACACCAGTGGTCTTCATGGGCACAACTTGGCCCATGAGAGTTTCCCCGGAGTGTCACTACCTGTAGTGCTGCCCTGCAGAGTGTGAGTGAGGCAGTCCTCCAAGTGCAGACAGCCACCCTCACCAACAGGAGACAAGGTTAGAACCAACCCTTACCCCAAGTCTATAAGAAACACCGGAGAGACTGGGTGCAGTGGCTCATGCCTGAAATCCCAGCACTTTGGGAGGCCGAGGCAGGTGGATCACAAAGTCAGGAGACGGAGACCATCCTGGCTAACATGGTGAAACTCCGTCTCTACTAAAAGTACAAAAAATCAGCCAGGTGTCGTGGCATGAGCCTGTAGTCCCAGCTACTTAGGAGGCTGAGGCAAGAGAATTGCTTGAATCCAGGAGTTGGAGATTGCAGTGAACCAAGGTTGCACCACTGCATGACAGAGCTAGACTCCATCTCAAAAAAAAAAAAAAAAAAAAAAAAAAAAAAAAAAAAAAAAAAAAAAAAAAAAAAAAAAAAAAAAAAAAAATAGAAAACAGAAACACCAGAGAATGCAAATCAGGGGACTGTATACTTCTGTATTTCACCTCTGACATAGTATCAGTAATTTTTTCATTCTAAAATTTCATCTTGCATTTTATGGGAACCATTCAAGAACCTGGGAGACTTTACATTTTTTTCTAGTTTCAGGATAGGAGCTAAAATGGAAGTCAAACCTCATAAAAGTCAAATTGCACAGGCTGCTTCCCAGGTCCTGAAAATGTTAACTTAGAGTAAAAGTGTTAGAGGTTAAATGGTAAAGGAGTAGAGCTGGAACTATGAACTGAGGTCTGTCTGTTCAAGGTTCGTGCTCTTCGCCATAGCGTCCCTTCTAGAGTGCTTGAGACAAACTGGAGCAGCCTGGGCATCTCTGGCAGGGCATCAGTTTAGCAAAGTACCAAGCAGACATGAGCAGGCAGAGAGTTACAGAGGGTGTGCATGGGGCCAGTGGAGCGAGACTATGCATGGGCACTGCAGCCAGCCTTGGAGGACCCCGGATGCAGATTGCAGTGTTAACCTTCACTCCCTGACTGTAGGATCTTGGCCATGAAGTGTTAGGATAAAAATAGAAGAGTTAA